AAAAACATTTTTTTGCCGGCCCAGCAGCCAAACGCAAACATTCCGCTACCGGTCCATTAAGCAAACAAAAGGTTCTGTTACCGGCTCAGTAAATAAAACAAAACAACATTAAGAACCATGAGTTTTATCTTTTTGGAATCAACAGATCCTTCCACTGGTAACGTATGCTTTTTCAGGTTTGGAACCATGAGTTTCAAGCTTTGGGAACCCGCAGTTCCTTACAATGATAGCCGCTTAGCTTCGAAAACATAAATTCTAACTTCTGGGAACCGGCAATTCGTTGCAATGGTAACCTCTGGTTCCCAAGTTGGGAACCGCAATTTTCAACGTCTGGGAACCGGCAGTTCCTTGCCATGGTAACCTTTGGTTCCCACGTTGGGAACCATGAGTTCCAACCTTTAGGAACCGGAAGTTCTTTGCAATGGTTACCTGTGGTTCCCAGGTTGGGAAGCATGAGTTCCAACCTCTGGTAACCGGCAGTTGCTTGCAAAGGTAGCCTCTGGTTCCCAGGTTGGGAACCAGGAGTTCCAACCTGTGGGAACCGGCAGTTCCTTGCAATGGTAACCTGTGGTTCCCACGTTGGCAACCGTGAGTTCCAACCTTTTGAAACCGGCACTTCCTTGCCATGAACCAAACGCAAACATTCCGGTACCGGCCCATTAAGCAAAACAAAGCGTTCTGTACCGGTCCATTAAGCAAAACCATAAAGTTGTAAAGAAAATGTTTTCATATCATTTTGACATGCACTTTTTCGTGCAAAAACATTTTTATGCCGGCCCATCAGCCAAACGCAAACATTCAGCTACCGGTCCATTAAGCAAAACAAAAAGTTCTGTTACCGGCTCAGTAAACAAAACAAAACAACATTAAGCACCATGAGGTCTCACTTTTTGGAATCAACAGATCCTTCCACTTTCAGGTTTGGAACCATGAGTTTCAAGCTTTGGGAATCCGCAGTTCCTTACAATGATAGCCGCTTAGCTTCGAAAACATAAGTTCTAACCTCTGGGAACCGGCAATTCGTTGCAATGGTAACCTCTGGTTCCCAGGTTGGGAACCGTAAGTTTCAAGGTCTGGGAACCGGCAGTTCATGGTAACCTATGGTTCCCAGGTTGGGAAGCATGAGTTCCAACCTCTGGTAACCGGCAGTTGCTTGCAAAGGTAGCCTCTGGTTCCCAGGTTGGGAAGCATGAGTTCTAACCTGTGGGAACCGGCAGTTCCTTGCAATGGTAACCTGTGGTTCCCACGTTGGCAACCGTGAGTTCCAACCTTTTGAAACCGGCACTTCCTTGCCATGAACCAAACGCAAACATTCCGGTACCTGTCCATTAAGCAAAACAAAGCGTTCTGTACCGGTCCATTAAGCAAAACCATAAAGTTGTAAAGAAAATGTCTTCATATCATTTTAACATGCACCTTTTTCGTGCAAAAACATTTTTTGCCGGCCCATCAGCCAAACGCAAACATTCCGCTACCGGTCCATTAAGCAAAACAAAAGGTTCTGTTACCGGCTCAGTAAACAAAACAAAACAACATTAAGAACCATGAGTTCTACCTTTTGGGAATCAACAGTTCCTTCCACTGGTAACGTATGCTTTTTCAGGTTTGGAACCATGAGTTTCAAGCTTTCGCAACCCGCAGTTCCTTACAATGATGGCCGCTTAGCTTCGAAAACATAAGTTCTAACCTCTGGGAACCGGCAATTCGTTGCAATGGTAACCTCTGGTTCCCAGGTTGGGAAGCATGAGTTTCAAGGTGTGGGAGCCGGCAGTTCCTTGCAATGGTAACCTTTGGTTACGAGGTTGGCAACCATGAGTTCCAAATTTCAGGATTTGGTAATTGCTGGAAATGGAAATCTATGGTTGCCACGTTGGGAACCATGAGTTTCAATTTCGTGGAAGCGGCAATTTCTGCAATCGTAGTCCGTTAATGGTTTTGTTCAGTGGCAAGTGTGGAGAACCTAGTCATATGAAAACATCAAAGCGTGATGAAAATAGGAACCTAGTCATATGGAGGCGTGTGCGTTTACCAAGGACTGCCGCGTGTTACAGATAAGCAATTTGATGCCGGCCCATTAAGCAAAACAAAAGGCTGTAAAGAACATGTTTTCATATCATTCTAACATTAAGCCAAACAAAGCGTTCTGTTACCGGCCCATTACGCAAAACCAAGCAATACCGATGCATGAAAGTTGCCAGACTTGCTTGAATCGTTGGGAACCAGGATTGCCTTCAAATGCGATTTCAAGGTTCCAAGGTTGGAAATCGTGGGCGGCAAGGAAAAACATTTTTTTTTGACGCAACCTCTGTGATGTCAATCCGACACGCAAATCTTTGAGTCCAAACGCATCATCATTTTGATCATTCAACAAGACAAAACAAAACGCGTTTTCAAAGAATATTTGCTCATGTCAATTGAGTAGGCAGATGCTGTGAAATTTGCTTGTCGAGACATCCGCTATATCACTGACCCATTGACGCGGCATGAAAAAACGTTTCTGAAATCTTTTCTATCTGGGGTCTATGCCGGTGTAATTTTTTCCATAGGAATTACGGTAATTTGCAACATCATTTGTTTGTGAATGGGAAACCTCTATGCTGCAACGCCTGGGCAAAACCCAGGCGTTGCGCGTATATATATATATATGTATTGTGATAAATACTAGTATATATATATATATTCATATTTATATATATATATATTCACATATATATATAATATATATATATACACATTCACATATATGTATATATATATATATTCACATATATATATACATTCACATATATATATAAAGATGTATCACCATGGCTCAATGACATGTGAAAACAATTACAGGCGGCGGCGCTTCATATCAATGCCACATCCACAGCTGGTTTGATCGCCGGAGAACCTCTGCCACGTAGATCTTATCGATTTTGACACGCAGCATGCAAAGCTCGCATTGAGGACGAAGGCCCGGCCGTGGTTGCAGCCTGAGTTGGGCGATGTAAGGCCCGGCACATGTGCCAAACATCTTATCAAACACGATAGCAATGATTATCAATGTGACCAATTGTGGCCAATTGATATGCAAACATTGCCAAACGAGCAACAGTTCAAACTCACAATCAACAGATCCGCACGATTCGTCACCAATCTCATCTAGACCTGGCCGTGGCTTTGAAGTTGGAATCCCAAATCGATCGCTGCTTTCGACTAGTGGAGCCTATGCGCTCATCAAACTAGTTTAGCCTTAGAAACTGTCTTGTGCTGTTTGCTTTATTCATGCAATCCGAACTCTGAGAACTTAGTTGCTGAATGTTGCTGAATGTTGCTGAATGTTGCTGACTCTTCGTTGTATTCGCCCTGTCTGAATGCGTGTTGGCCTCCTGTATGTTTAGATTGACTATAATGAGAAGTACTGTCATGGCGGGAGTGAAGCAAGCCGTGCCGCAATCGAAGCTGAAACGGTTTTGAGAAGCTTGCTTTGAATCTCTCCAAAACTCACTCATTCCCAAGATCAAGTAAGTTCCAAACCCTGGACTGGAGCAAAGAGTTCAATGGCGGCTCCGCTGTTTTCTACTGCATCCTTTACCTTGGCATGGGAAAACACCTTGCAACAGGAAACTCTCCAGTGCTGCACTTGGCTCACCCGGTCACGCCGGTCACCCCATTCGCTCAGCCAAGGTGCCAACAACGGCTTGGCTTGGCCTATCGTGTGTTGAGGATTGAACCGACCCTTGTCCATCACCTCGATGTAGATGGTCCTCAGTGCCATGATCACAGTATATATATATAATTATGTGTAATAATATGTATACTATATATATATGTGCATGAAATGTATCACAGGTATAATATCACAATGCCTTTCAACATCGTTTCAACATCTTGCCACCGGACCACTTTCGGTGCCTCATCCAAGTGTCTGCCTGATGTCGTAGTACCAGAAGCAGTGATGATCCGCGGCGGTCCAGACGGGAGAACTTCCCTCCGCCATCGAAGAATGCCATTCATCATCTGCTACTCGGACCTTGGTCGTTGTAAAGGAGCGATGCACGTACCAAATCAAAGTGGATATGGTAAAGAATGGTAAAGAGCTAAATACTGCATTTGCATCTGCATGGTCTGTTTGAAACTATTTGCTGTGAAGCCGGGACTGAGTCTTTGTTTGGTTGGAGTACTCTTACGAATTGCTTTGGGCTTTACAACGATGACTGCAACAATTAAGAGCACCAAGCGACTCTCACATACGCATCAATGTTCTGCTTGCTGAACAAGTGGAGATGTCCATCTAGCGCAGTTCAACTCTGGCACACATTTTCTCGTCTGATTCAGGTTTTCAATAGTGGCCGTCTCACAAACACACACGCAAGTCATATATACGTACGTATAATATATATATATATATATATACACGTATACAGTATATTTTTTGTCATAGCATGTGCTGTCTGAGTATGCTATTGGTCCACATATGTCCACATATTCACCATTGCCTGGAAGACCAGTCGCAGACTTTGCCCTCACGCGGACAATTCCCAAAGGACGCGGATGTCGCAAGAGGCTGCGGTCAACGCCTTTCCTGAGAAGTCACACGCGATGAATCCGATGAACATTGGAATTTCTTCGAATCCCATCTTGTGCACAATCTGACATGGTGACATATGGTGACTAGATGTGACTACTGTCATTCGTTGTGAATGTTGTGAAGTTTTTGGGCGGATGGCGGATGCGAATCTCAACATGTTCAAACAGGGTACTCCTCGCTTCCAATTGGCACCGAGATCACATTCGGCATAACCAAGGCCTGAAAACGAACACGTTGCGTCAATCATTCAATGGGTCACTGCACTGCAGATGAAAGACCAGGCCTTTGCAATGGCACGATCAATGGCACCCCTGACCATTGGCTCCAACGTTGTGTTGCCAACCAGTTGGGCAAAGTGTTTGTACTCCTTGGCTAACAACCAGAGAACCAAGATGAACCAAGCCTTGTGGCATGGGCCATGAGGCCATGAGGCATGCTTGCACCATCTGAGGCTTCATCCATGGCCAGTTTCGGGGGATTCAGGAAGCACATCACCAAACCTCCAATCCTTAGAGCTCCGCAGGCCGCAGAATGAGATATGATGAGATCAGAAATCGCTTCAAAACAAGTCAAAATATGGCTCAATATGGCTCAAATGCATTTCCTCAATATATTCACATGTTCTCAATATTCTCAATTCAGAGCGGTGATGCTAAGCTCTGAGCACAGGCGTCTGCCCCAACAAAGGTTCAAAGCGGATGGCGATTTCGCCTCTGACCTGCAATCGATGGATGCCCACCTGGCACAAATCCGATCCGATCCGGATCAAGCACAATCACAGTAACAGAATGTAACAGAATGTAACAGAATGTAACAGAATGTAACAGAATGTAACAGAATGTAACAGAATGTAACAGAATGTAACAGAATGTAACAAACATACAGGGATTATAAATATTATAAAGAGATCATATAAAGACCCTCGAGTCAAATCCATGACACGTCAGCCAGGTGCACAGGAATACTTCTTGGATCAAGATGAACCAGGCAACAGGAACTCAGCCCGACACCTTCACAGCCATCACAGTCAGCTCGATCTGTGACTCTGAATCCAGTTTCACGCCCAGTCTGATTTCTGACCTCCGTGAGCCACAAACCGATTGATCGGTCTTGGCCGTCATCGTTTTGTATGTAATCTGTTGGGCTGCCACAAGAAGCAATCTGACATGTGTCACAACATTCACAACTTGGAATCTTCATATCCATGTTTGGGGAATTTTGCTTTGCGCTTTGAGGTTTTAGTTGATTGATAATATTGATATGTTATTTTCTAATATTTTGGGTTTGTTACAGCCAACATGGTTTCCCAGATGCCAAGGGGCCCCTGATTGGCATCCTTTCCAGGCTCTTTGCCCCATCGCTCTGGCGCTTCTCCAATTTTGATGGGACCAAAGACCGGCGTCTTCGTCCCCAGCTTGAACTTGTTGAAGTACATGCCTGCACAGGCCGCGACACATCACAAATGCTGCAGTTTGTTGAGCTGCGACATCACTGGTTCCAAAGCCTAAAAGTAAATGAGACGTGCAGCACTCAGATTGAAAGCAAAGGGAACCACCCCAACAGACTACAAGATACTGCAAGTAGTTTCCAGTGGCACTGCTTCTGACTCTTTGACTCCACAGCTTCAGCGCCTTTCAGAAGCTTTGGAACTGCCGCTTGCATTTTTTGAGTCACATTCCCCTCTTGATCCTGGCAGGAATGATATTTTGAGATATTTTGAGGCCTATTGTGGTGAAACATGATGAAACCAATATCTTGCACCGTTCCAAAGATCTGAAAGTCCTCCATGAGTTTTTGCACGTACTTTGCAATCTTTGGCCAAAGTCGTCCAAAAAAAGCGTTGAACCAATCCTGACATGTGCGTTTTGGATGTGCCAAGACTTTAACAAGATGCTGAGTCGTTTTCAAATGCTTCTCGAACACAAAATGCCAAACCGTCGCAGTCCGAGGCTCGAGAGATTCAACAGATCCTGTGCACTTTGTCTGATCTCGGCCCCTGAACCGGTGCTGAACCGGTGTCATCATGAACCACATGCAGAAATGGAAACCCCAATGGGATGAACCAGTGAAATCAGCAGAACATATATATATATACATACATATAATGTGTATATATATATAATGTGTATATATATAATATACGGACAATATCATCTATTGATTTATTTATTCATCTTACTATAGGATACTATAGGTACTATACAATATTCCAATGTGTATGCCGATTCATTATTTCACTCAAGAGTGGGGATGTTGCCAATTAGGACTTCAGCAATTTGTCTGGGATGCAACCAACAAACATGGGTGTGCGAATCTGTTCAAACTGTTCCGCCGAAGCACACGAAAGGTTGTTCCCACTTACTCAACGAGCTGTTGCGTGTTGTGACTCGAAAATCCTCAGCTCCAAATCGGAAAGACACCAAGATGTCGTGACGCAAACTGGAGGACCTGATGACTGTATAAAATTTATACAGCTCATAGATGTTCATAGTAGTTGCCTGAAGTCATGTTTCGTGTGGAAGCTACTATAGCTGTCTCTTTTTGGACCACTCCAAAGACTGACCAATCCATGGCTCTTCGGGAGGTTGCTGACATCGCTTCCTGCACTGTTCACCACAAGCGTAAGATGACTTTGAATGGAAGAATAGCATTATACAATTACTTGAATATACGGGGCTTTTCTTGAATACTTCCTTCGAATTTATTTGACGTCTACCAAGTGATGCAGTGCACCAAACGGTCTGCCCGTCCTCATATGAGTCAGAGCTGCCTTTGTGGCAACTGGCTGCAGGCCCATCACCTTGACAATCCGACGGTCTCAGCTTGGATGGGCTTGGCACATGGCACATCTTGTGCCAAAGGTGATCCAGCATGGTCCGACGGTCCAACTGAGTTGCGAACGGAAACCGTCACCTCTGCTCGCACTGGTGCTGCCTTAACGGCAGACAACATATGAAGCCGGTTGGTGCTGCCATCCCTGCTTCGGCCCTTGCCTCTTGTGGTGCCTCACCACGAGAGGTGAAAAAGTCTGGCAGAACGTTCCCATCTTCTGGTGGCGGCCTTTCCAATATCCTGAAGGAAAACGAAGGAAAACTGACAACCGCAAATTGCCTCGAAGTCAAAACCTAGGTCAGTAACTCCTGTGAAGAAATTCAGATTAAACCAACTTGGTTTCGAACAGTTCTGTTGGACCTAAGGTAGAAGCTAAAAATCATTCGCGTCATATCTTGCCGAGGATCAACGGCTCATCAATCCACTCTTTGTTTTTGTCGGGTTCGTTCATGACTTCTTCCAAGTTGATCCTTCCCACTGCCAGCGTTCGTTCTCGGTGGACCTCGGGACAGTCTTCAACCATAGATCCATGAGAATTTGCAGCACAAAAACAAGGGAAAATGATATCAAGTGATGACCTGAAAAGCTGACTCTTGGATACTCTTGGTGACTTGTCACTTAATGATAATCTGGCCTAGTGAATCAAGATCTTTCATATATTCCATCTCTTCCATATCTTCCGTAAGTCAAATCCAGGCTTTGTCGCTTTGTCATTCCTCAAAAGATGAGCGAAGCGTCTTGGTCTTGTTGCGCAATCAACGAGATCTGCAGTGGCTCCGTCATGGCCGCCTCCTTCGCCACGCCGAAGCACATGACGTACCTCGGCATTGGCTCAGCATGGCTCAGCATGGCTCAGCATGGCTCAGCAATATCTAGAAAACCAGCAGAATAGCATGGAAATGCATGGAATAGTATATATTCATGTCCCGCAATGGCTCATCACAGATCACCACCAATCATCATAGTTTATCTAGATGTAAATGATGTAATTTGATGTGATTAGGCAGAATATGTATGAATATGTCAGAATTAGCATCTGCAGCACCTCAGCATGTGCATAGCATCTGCCACCAAGTGACTCGACATCCAGTCGTTTGTCACTGGGAGATTCTGCGAAAGTGACAGTGGTGTTGGGCGGTGATGTGAAAGGCGTGTTCTTCAGCTTTCCATCTTGAAGCTTCACCTCGGACGAGTCTTGCGGTTTCGAAAACGATGTAGAAATCTGATTGGAACCCTGCAATTAACATTTTGTCTGGAAGGCGTTGTGACAGGCCGACTAGCCGATCAGACTTATCAAAAGGTAAATAATAAGTGTCAAGATTTGGGAGATCTCTTCACCAAACGGACCCACTGGTTTTTTTAGTTCACATTCTCCAAACAGCGTCATCAAAGCCATTTGCTGCGGTTGTTACCTCTCTGCACTGTTGAGTCTGATTCAGTGAATCACAGTCACCTGAATCTTCGCTGAAGTGAAGTCCTTGGCACAGGGTGACTGGAATTCTATGCGACACATTCACAAAACAGTTTTAGGCTGTTTTACAAATGTGTTACATAGTTTGTTTAATGTTTTTTTTAAAGTTCTTACATGATTTTTCTGTGAAAATCTGTGTAAATCTGCCAAGAGTTGATGCCAAGCAACGATGTCATCCGGCCTTGGAGGTCGAGCCAGAGCGGGATATGTCAGGATTCAGGGAGAAACGTACGGAGAAACTTCGGCCAAGTGGATCCAAGTGGATCTAAGTAGATCCAAGTGGCACATAGACCTCATCGAACTTAATCCTGACCATGCAGGCATAGTCATCGTCGAGGTATCCGGAAGTGACTTTCAACCAGTCAAACTGCCTTGGTTCCAGGGGGAAGGCATGAAATTTGCAGACAGAATTATGTAGAGAAACCCAACTTGGATGAAGTTTCTCAACACTTTGCCAGAATACACCACCAAATGCCCGCGATCTTGCTTCTCCTTTGAATCAAATAACTCCATGGGCTTCCTGGCAACAGAACAATGGCAGGAACGGCTGATGAAAAATCGCATGGGGATCCGTGTCTTTGCCCATCGCACCCGTGTCCTGGAGCGGCTCAAAGCCTCTTGAACCGTCATGGGCTTGGTGCGTCCAATCCTAACAACGATTTCCGCCGATTTGAACAAACTTTAAGGCTGGTGGCTCGGGGAAAGCTCAGGGAAAGCCACCAAAAAGCTCTTTGTTAGGAACAACCTTTTGTCATCTTTCGTCCATTGGCTCTGAGGTTTTGGGCTCTCCATACATCATGCATCATCATGCTATACGCACACATATGGTAATATAATAGTAATACAATGTAATAATATAATGGCATCGGTATGTGTAGGACATCGATCGGTTTTGAAGCTTTCCGTGTTTCAGCCCTTTCAGCCCGGCAGCAAGACGTGCTCCATGATCTGGTTCCAGTCAAAGACTTCCATCCTCAACGTTTGCCCCACATCCTGAGCTTCAGCGACACCAGGAATTCTCGGCCAAGGGGGTTGGACGAGTTTTCTATGTACAATGTAGTGACAATGTTAATTAATAATGATTATATAAATATATTAACATAGATTCAAGATGATTCATGTAGTGCCAAAGTTGAGAACCTGAGATGAGCTTCGTAGACCAAGAAGTCGTGCTGCACTTCGTCTGGTGAGATCTGTTCACTCCCAATCCTTGGTTGAACTCAGAATGCATGACTCACAGGGCGCTTTCAAACAAACTGCAGCCAAGTTCAACCCAAGGATCGTCTCAGGATCAGTGAGCCACTTGGGATTGCAAGTCTCTTCTCGTTTGCAAGATTGCCATTCCTCAGCTCATTGAGACACATTCAATTTTTCATTCCAAAGTCACTGGATGGTTTTGTTGTTGGGTTGGTGTTGCCTCCCCCTTTTGGTTGTACACTTCTACAGGCTATATCAAATTATACAAAAAAAAGGAAACTGAAACAGTTTACAGGTCCGAGTCTCATCATCCGCCAAGCGAATGCGGACATATGGATCGCTGGTTGCCTTGCTGAACAAATGGAAGTCGTTGCCATAGAGTTTGCTGCCTTCAATGACCTGAATGCAGTTCAATCATGTTCTATCATGTTCAATCAGTTTCGGCAGCCAAGAACCTCCTATATCATCCATCTCCTGCGTTCAGAGCTTGAACCAATGCAACTGAAAACGGTCAATTCCGCAATCCACGCCCGAATTCCACCAAAAACACTTTGCCAAGGTGCTGTCACCCTCAGTACGCCTACAGGCTTTGGATCGCGCAGGGTTGCAGTATCCACGATGTCTTCCTCAGCAAACCAAAGAACTGGTTCATGATGTAAGATCCTTTAAGATCTGGCCATGGCAACGGAATTCTTGGGGAAACTCCAAAAAATTTCTTCGGAAACATTTGGATCTTGAATTTACCGGAGACCCGAAACATCCCTCAACCCATCCCTAAGACACGGTGTGGGGCCATGAGTTTGCTGCCTTCAAAATCCGAATCTGCCCGCCTAAATGTCGAAAAAATGGGACCCAGGAGGTATGCATTAAGAATCATTAAGATCTTTAAGATCTTTAAAAAACTGTTCAAACATGTTCAAAAGATATTCGAAGACTAAGAGGAACAACATCTCACCAAGCTACCAGCCCCTCCGCCAAGCATCATCCTTCAAGAAAGGGCGGAACCAAACATTGGGCAGCACCAGTCGGTTGGCAATGAGTTTCTCAAAGATGCGGGTCAGACCCCGTTCCTCACACGTTGACATGTGCAAAGACATGTGCAAAGACATTAAAGACATTTCATGGCATCATGGTGGTTCATGACATGGTCCATTGGCCACCATTGGCCCGTGGTTCCACCGAGTTCCGAGTTCCACCGAGTAGCGCTGAGCTCAAGCTCTGCCATTGAAGCAAGTTGAGTGAAATCCAGATCTAGAACCGGTGGGTCCAAGAAATAGATCACCAGGCCTTGGTGAAGGCCCCGGCACCATCGGCACCATCGGCACCATCGGCACCATCGGCACCCTGCGTGAGTCTCCCGAACAGAACGATCTCCTTTGGCATGTCCAAAACTTCCATCTTTGGGTAATGATGTCTTTATGCGCACACCCACATTCAGAAGCCGCGCTGCAAATAGAGTGAATCATTCACGGTGAGAAAAAAAAAACACTGAAAACAAAAAACAAAAAACCGATGGACAACATTGGACAACCACGTCACCATAGATACCATAGACCACAGATCGTCAGAATTATCACGCTCCGACTTGTGTCTTTTACAAGGCACAAAATTTGGGTGTTCATGGCTTCGGTCAGCAACAGTAACGTTTTGTAACTACTGCCAAGCCACCACCCAGAATCGGCGAATGGTCCAGCAAAGGATCCTGAGTGCGATCCCGGAGTCGCAAGACTGTACAGATTTCCTATGATTTCCGAATTGGCATTGACAAATGGCAGGAAATAATAGGAAATAACAGGAATCAAATGCATCTCAGGTTCCAAACGCACCACCAAAGTACCTTTGATTGTGCACTCCTTCACTCCAGCAGTCAGAGCTCCAATTGCCAGTTCAACCTGCGCACCGACATAAGTCCCAGTAAAGAAAACTGTGATTGTCAGTCTGTCAGTCTATTGTTCTTACTTGATCTTATGTTGTATTATGTTGTATTCATTTGTTCTCCAAAACTTGAGAGCTCAATCTTTGCCAAGCTGCATCCAGATTTTTGGTTTTCAGCTCAACTTCGATGTGCAGTTCCTCAGCAATGAGATACTCTGCAATGAAACAGCTGACATCGCAGTTTAGCTCAGTGTCCACATTGACGCTTTTCACGAGGAAAAACATGGAAAAACAACTTTTCCAGGTCTTGGTCTGAGTGAATTTATAATAATCATTAATAAAGTTATTAATAATCTATATCACAATCCAAGGCTCCAATCCTCGATGATCGATATCGTCTTTCAAACAGGGCGCATCCCAAATTGTGATCGGTCCCACGCTGGGTGTTGTTTTCCCCAGCGTGAACTTTTTGAAGGTCAAACCCTTCAGGGCAAAAGGAAGTTTGTCCTCGGCTCGGTGGCAGAATCCGGTCCGCTGTCGCCAGATGCGGTGCTGAGTTGCAGCTGAGGGTCTTGGATCTTGGGCTCCACCGTTTCCTTCATAATTTTGTGGAGCGCCGAATCAATCTTAGGCCAAAGCCTCAGACCGGTCTGGAAAAACTGTGATTGGAAACAACCGTTGGAAAATTCCGACGATTCCCTTGCATCATCTTTCATCTCCGTTACAACGCCCGTGCCATGCAGGCGGCTTGTCCAGTAAAGGCTTCATCCATTCGAGCTCCTTGCCAGCGATGAGGAAACAACAAATACTCAACAGGACTCCACCCCGGTTCTAACACATCTAACACATGTCCCCAGGTCAACCATCGGTCCTCGACACTGGTAAGTTTCCTACGCGGGAGCATATATCTTGACCGCCCCTCAGAACCGCAAGTCTTGCATGGCTAAAGTCTGTAGATGTGTGTACATTTCTGCTTCAACATGCTTCTGGTGCTGTGTAAGTGTTAAACGATCTTTCAAGATTTTCAAGGGTGAACCAAAGCAACTGAGATTGCTGTCGCTTCACGGGCATTGCACGCCACGGCACACTTTGGCAGCCTGTCTCATCGTTCTCCGTGGTATCACTGTCCTCATCCTTGGCCAAAGGCCGGTCTCAAACAACACGTGGATTACGTCGATTTGAACATCGGTGACTTGACCTAATTTCGACGATGATTTGCTCATCGTTTGACATAAATTTGACATTTTGACGTCACGAATTTGCTTCGCCCGGCCTCGAAGGTCGGATTGAAGTCGGTGCTGTTCTGGACCTCCTCCGCATCCACGTGTGGATCTCGACAATACGACAAGCAGGCGGAAAACATCTCTCCGCCTTGGCAGAGAAATGGTGCTGGTGTGATGCTGGTGAAACCGTGAAACTGTGAAACCGTGAAACCGTGAAACCGTGAAACAGGCCACAAGATGTCACAAGATGTCACAAGATGTCACAAGATGTCACAAGTTTTGCCAATGAAACCCTCACTGGAAACAGCTGTTCTCTGGGTTCCACGCTGCATCTAGCTGCAGAAATGAAACTACCGCATGTCTATGAGCATTGCAAAAGGTTGGTGGCAAAATGTGTTAAAACTTGAACGACTTTGGTGCAGTGAGACTTGGGACCATGACTCGAATGTTCTCACGCATATCAAAATGTGCGACGTCTGGCCAAAGATCGCAATTCCAGGTTGAAAGTTGAAAGTTGAGTGAGCATGGTAGTCATGTGATGTCGATGCATTCTAGTTTGCTCTGTTGCGCACAGCGCATTGCTGGACAAAGCCAATGGACTTGCAAAGGAAGAGTGGGCGTAAAAAGGTTGTGTGGCATTTCAAGACCATTCTGAAGTGCCTGTGGGCTTCATCTGAGACTTGTTCCAACGAGATTCTGACAGATTCTGACCCCTAAGGGCCACAAAGATTGGTAAAGCATGGTAAAGCATGGTAAAGCCGTGAATGTCATAGAACTCTTGCGGCAACGGGTGGTGGCTGTCTTCGCTGTTTTCCCCTCTATGCACACGGCTTCGAGGCTGTTCACACAACTTCTTTGGAGTGTGAACTTCTGGCATTAGCGATCTCAATCCAGGCTCGCAACATTCCCTTCCTGATCTTCCGTGATTTTCCATGATTTTACTATTCCTTCACAACGTCAGCGTTTTGCACTCTGACTGCTGTTGGCCTGTCCACAGGTCAAATCCAAGGGTATCACACCCCACACCCCACGTACAGTGACATGCCGGTAGTCTTGGGACAAGCTTCGAATGTGTTGGGATGTTCAGACAAAGCAAGGGACAATCCTAGTCAAAATCCAGCCCCATAAACAGGATCAATTGAGTTTGCACAATCTTTGCGAATTGTTGCAGAAGCTACAAATATGGAGTTATTGCGATTCTCAAAATTCACTGTAGCACTGCATACCGTAGCGCCATTTTCATCAAACAAATGCTCTCGGGCTCGGCTCAGCAGCAAATCCGTGATGCACTGCGAGGCTTCTCGATCCTCACGTGTGACGAATTGCAGGAACATCAAAGGTCAAATGATAGCTTGGCTTGAAGGACCCGGACATGTTTTGCAGAGAGGTTGGATTCCGGGATTACATCAACATGCCTATACACCCGATACATGCCTTTATATGCCTTTATATGCCTTTATATGCCTTTATATCTTGAAGCTCCATGTCGCAAATCACTAAGCCACTAAGCTCTCGGGTGCCGTCAAGGTTCTGGCATCTCTCCACGTTGGCGCATGTTTCCCAAGATCTCCAAGGCTGCTGCCCAGTTTTGTTTCGTGCCACCTGCGGATCTTCAGCTCCGGAACAGGTCCGGGCTGCGTTGGGCCCTGAAACTGTTTGATTTGAATACCAACAAGAACGCGCACATTCCTGGACCTGAAATCTCTAGATTCTGGGATTGTCGCGGGAAAAGGCAAAAGTCTGCAAAAATTGGAAAAAAAGAAAAAACGGCGAAAGTTCCAGTCGAGGATCATGCTTTCAGAGCCATGTTGAACATCACAGGAGTCAGTGAAATGCCTTGCCTCACTAAAGCTGCAACATATCCAGAGAACTCAGAAAAAATGCCATTATTTTTTGTTTTGTTACTTATGATTCACTTCTGAAAGTCTCAGCCTTTTTTTTTGCTACCTCCAAGTAATGACCTGATTTTCCTGTAGGTGGCCGTGCGTTGTCGTGCATTCTTGTTGCTACAAAGTGAGAAACCACGACATGAAGAAAAATGCTGGCAATCATCATATGATATATATGAAGAAAATCTGAATCATGTGAATAACGTATGATTCATATGCAAACCAGCCGCTCTTCCGCACTCCGCAGAAGCTCAACCACGTTGTTTTGGCACTGCAAACCATTGCAGGCCTCCATGGCCAATCTGTAGCTCTCAGCATCTGCGATGTCATTTTGCACCTCTTCAAACAGTCCATGAAGATCACCCCACCGCTGAGCAGCAGCACAGGCTGTCATTGCCGAGTTGTAGAAGTCCACGGATGGGTGGAAACCACGCAGTCGGACCTCCTGGAAAACTTGGATCTGAAATACGACAAATGGATCTCTGAAAATATGACAGAACGATCAGTTTTTTCATGGCAGATGAATTTCTAATAGTGAATGACTCGCGCAACAGAAAACCACCTGCAGGAGCTGTAATGCATCTTCCCATCGCCCAGCATCACCACATGACTTCAAAGCTGCTTGGTACAGCTGGAGGTTGGGCCGTTGCTGCGGACGAACCTCCTGCGAAGTGTAAAAATTGGTAAGGCATCTCTGTCAGCTTACCCAATCCGAGGTGTTGTTCATGCTATCCTCAAACCAACAGGCGACATGTCCCCATATCAATTCTGCATGTTTGCTGATTACGGTAGATTCAGTAAACCTCCCCAGAACGATAGAACGATTTTTTTCCAGGATGTTATGGTGATATTTCCTCCATCATTTCTTGGTTTCCAACTGTTCATGTTCTATCCCTTTGGGGGTTGGACTCACCGACAAAGTGTGTCACCCAAAAAAAACAAATACTTGCTCATTGCAATCATCCGAAACCATCTAACTATCCGGAAACTGGTAAAAAGTTAGTAGACAATTGCATCAAGTCCAGGGCCGAGATGATGATTTTTGAAGAACACATAGGATGCTTGGAGTTGCTGCATGCACTGGAAACTCTCCAGGTTTTGAACGTCTTTCCGGCTGTCCAAAAAAAACTCAGGAGCTGGGAGTCTGATGGAGGCACTTCAGCCTCAACAAAAGAAGCCGCGGCCTCGTTTAAAAGCGAGAAAAACAAATCATCAACCAAGAGTTGCGTGTACAAAGAAATCTCCCGTGTTTCCTCGAAGCATTTTCTTCCCACCCTGCAAGTTGGGTTTCTCCAGCGACTGGCAAAAGAACTTGCTGAGCAGCTGGACAACGAGTGCGGCAGCTGGCAGCCTTCTTTTGTTGGGGCTGAAGTGCCTCCGTCAGACTCCCAGCTCGTGAGAATTTTTTTGGACAGCCGGAAAGACGTTCAAAACCTGGAGAGTTTCCAGTGCGTGCGGCAACTCCAAGCATCCTATGAGTTCTTCAAAAATCATCTCGGCTCGGGACTTGATGCAATTGTCTGCAAACTTTTTGCCAGTTTCCGGATAGTTAGATGGTTTCGGATGGTTGCAGTGAGCAAATCTACATATAAATATGTGTATGTATGTATGTATGTATGTATGTATGTATGTATGTATGTATGTATGTATGTATGTATGTATGTATATATATATATATTATATACATTTATCCATACACTTAGATAGTGACACACTTTGTCGGTGAGTCCTCATTGTCTATTGCGCCTATTGGGTGTTGGTGTCTGCAGCACCTCCAACAGATCCAGCACCCTCTGCCACTGCTTAGCGTCAGCGCAAGCGCTCGCCACCCGGCCAACCACTTCAGCACTGTCCTGGGGTCAAACTGGGAATGTAAATTTTAAGTAATGTAACGTAATGTCATGTAAATGTTATTGTTCTGTTACTGTCTAATCCACATGAATTATTGAACAAAAAGTGTTGTCTAAATATACTTTGGATACATGATGATACATCATGATACATCTATGTATGGTGGTCCACTGTCCTCTTTTGTGTTTCCCCATTTTCCTGGCACCTGTGGAAGACAGAAAGCGCGTCATAACACATTTCGTTGGATTTCGTTCCACTGAGCCATGAACTCCTATGACTATGGGAATTGGCAAACAACAACGAGATGCTGCAGGTGGCAGTCCTTGCAGTGCTCCAAGAGTTCCAAGGAGCGTTGCCAACTGGCAGTAGCCGCAGAAGCGCTGGCAACCTCGCCGTGGCAGAATTCCACATCCATGTTTGCAAATCAGCCTACTGAAAATAAGTACTTAAATTACTTAAATAGGTACTTGCTAGAAACCAAAAAAACGGTATGACTGGATTGCCATATTCCTTTACACATTGCGCCGGTTGTGCTTCATCTGGCTGTACTCGGTCCAAGGTGCTGCGATGAGAGTGTCTTTGCCAGGCTTGAGCTTGTAGCTCTGCATCTCATCGAAGAGTCTCAACACCTAGTCACTTTTGTCACTTATGTTACTAATGACAATCAACTTTCAGCTCGCGTTGCAACTGGACAAACAATGGAAAGCCACTCACTGACAAACAATTGGCATAGTTAGGGCATAGTTAGGGCATAGTTAGGGCATAGTTAGGGCATAGTTAGGGCATAGTTAGGGCATAGTTAGGGCATAGTAGGGCATAGTTAGGGCATAGTTAGGGCATAGCTAGGGCAGAGTTAGGGCATAGTTAGGGCATAGTTAGGGCATAGTTAGGGCATAGTTAGGGCATAGTTAGGGCATAGTTAGGGCAGAGTTAGGGCATAGTTAGGGCATAGTTAGGGCATAGTGCTAGTTGATATGAATTGCTTCCAACTCTTGCAGCACCTCATCCCATCTCTCAGCAGCTTCGCAGCATGCAATGGCAGAGTCATAGCACTGGGCATCTGCAACCCCCGTCTCCCATCTCTTCGTCAGAAGCTCCAGAGCATGATTCCACTTGGAGCCACCACCTGATCATCCACTTGCTTGGAAATGTCAGACTATGTACATGAATTAGCAAAGCAATGCGTCAATTTTGGGGTTTTACCATGTAAACTGTCCTGTGAATGTGAGATATTGTGACATATCATGACTATTACATTCTACAGTATGATATGTTATATGCTTGGATTTTTTTTGGGTGTCATGATTGTCACGCAAGCTTTCCAGACAGCACAGATTGCACCACTAAATCTCTCCAGGTCACAGGCCCGGATGGCGGCGGCGTAGGTCTCGTTCTCCGGAGCGGCGGAATAGCTCTGCCGCAGCCGGAAGAGACGCAGGGCCTGTCACGACGATGCCATGGTGCCATGGTGCCATGGTGCCATGGTGCCATGGTGCCATGGCACGGCTCAATGGGAGGTCGAAGATCCCTGGCCTCTTCAGATTCTCCGCACTGTTCACAAGCAGAGATCACTTCACGAAAGGCTTCAGCCTTAGTCAGGTCTCAATCAACTCACATTGGGATCTTGAGAAAAATGATGTGAAATTGGAAAAACCATGAATTTTCTCAAGCCAAAACTTCATCGCCGAGTGACATCCGGTTGAAATCCTCTCTCCCACATGGAGGACATGAGTTGAAGAGCACATCTCCATTGACCTGCCTCGCTGGATCTGCACACAGCAGCATTCAAGGCAGTGGCATTGGGCTGCAATCCACGACGCCTGCACCGGCATAGCGGCATGATCTCATCGAAGTACCGGAATGTGTCCAGGAATATGTTGCCAGAATCTACCAGATACCCAAAAATGCTACTATATTGCTATTTGGATTGGGAAAAATGAAAAACATATGGACAACAATGCGTTTTTTTTGGTACCCAATTTTCCGACAAACCCATGCATATCCAGCAAGCCAAATTGCCATCACGGGCTTCAACTACAACGGCATCTTTCACTCAAATCCTTCAGTCACTTCAGTCCAACAGAACCAAATGTCCGCCTCATTTCCTGCAAAAGCTCAAGCTGCTCACGCCATCTGGGTCCGTCGCAGGAGCGGATCGCAGCATTGCAAGTGTCCGCAGTTGGCGGATGTCCGTCTGCAATAAGAGAACAAACAGATCAAACAGTTGCCATCATGTGAACACCATGTGAACACCATTTGATGCCACCGTCCACATCTCAAACACTGCAAAACTGTGATTGTCTTCAAGATCTTCAAGTCATATTGCAACCAAATCCAAAGATATCCAAAGTACAGTAGGGTACTGTGGTACAATTTGGCACTGGCCTTGCAGCATAGACCGATGCACCCTCAGCGTCTGTGTGCATTGTCCAGCATCAGCGCAGACGTTCATTACAGCTGTGTAGCTGATGACATCAACAACCTCCGACCTCAGCCGAGTTGACAGGGCTGATCCAGTCACATCTCACATCAAGTCTCTGCATGTCTGAGCGATTGTGATGCGTTCATCTTTGGTCCTTGATCTATGGTTGCCGATATGCCGCTGCATCGAAATCTAAACTACTCAGATTTGTTGCCTGTAAAATAGAACTCTGCTTTTTCAACTATCTTTACAGCTTGGGCCGCAGCTCGCGCATGTCTTGGAGAAGTACAAGGGCATCTTCCCATCGGCCAGCTTGTTCGTAGGCACACAGCGCTGCATTACATGACACCGTCTCAGGGGCTAGAAAATGTTCCCGCATATCCTGCCAAACAAAATCCAGGGCCAAAATTCGAAAGTCCACAGATTTTCAGATTGAAACCAATGAAAGCTCGACTGGCGCTACCATTATTTGAGCACTATGAGGGAAGTAGCGTCTCATTGGGGTACGAGCCCTCAAACATCACAGTTGAAAGCAAGAGTCGTATAATAATTGATTTATCAATGATCTATTAATGTAGTACTATATGAGGAGCCTAGCTGCTGTTGAAAACCAGGAAGGATTTTTGTCATGTTCGCAGCATGAAACGCTCAAAAAGATAAGAAACGAGAGGCTTCCCCGTATTCCCGTCACATGCTATCAGTAGTGGGACCTAGTGGGATACTCAGGATATTTGCTTGGGCAGTTGTGATGCGTCGGAATCTTTAGGAGGAGATTCCGTCAACTTCCGTTCATCCAAAAGTCCTTGAAGAGTTTCAGCGCCTGCTGCCACTGCTGATTCTTCACACAAGTCCACATAGTGGCACTGTAAGTGACTGCCTCAACCATGCAACCAGACCTCAGCGCTGATTCCAACATCCCAAGATTCTAAGCAGCATCGCATACCTGTCAAACCCCATGCTGGGAGATTGAAAACGGAAGCTGCATGACATCAACAAGAGAACAGTTCAACTACCCTCCAGCTGGATAAAGGGCCTCCCCTCACAGCATGTCAGGCAATGCCTGGAACCGCACTTTAGCGCCCCAGAATTATCAATGCCAGCCGCCACAACACAGCAGCCACAAATGCCGGGACAATTCGTGGGTAGGGCGAAGCTACTCCCATGAATGTTCACTACGTACTTATGCTGTGAGCAGAGTTGTGTGTCGACAGAGGAGACGAAATCTGCCACAAACTGCGCTTGTTCGATTTTGCTAGCTTCCTTTTGGGTCTGGCGAATGAATTTTAACCTGCAATAATTGTGGCCAGCTAAACTGCTCCGGGTCTCGTATAATTACTGGCTTGATAGCCTTGCCGCAAAAATGTTGAAAACATGCTCAACATGATCTCAAGCTTTCTGCCTGCAATAGAGAAGAAACCTATCAGACATTGCAGGGCACCGAAATTGGCCATCCTGTGGTGGCCCCCAATGTCTGGAACCAACATGAACCATATGATTTACATGTCAAAAAAACATACATTCCTTACGTTTTCATATCGTGCAAGGATTGAACAAGGTGCCCGGAATCCACGGGATGAACAGGATTTGAACAGGCATAACTTAACGGCATAAAATACAAGCTCGTGACAACTGGATACAACTGGTGCCTTTCTGTGTCCTTGAAGATTCCATCACTAATCTTTACCCTTCCAGTCAGGTGAAAAATGGTGAAAATTCTAGAGGTCAAGCCATGTCCCTTCGACCAAGATACGAAGACAGCGAGTTGAGGAGATTCAATGCCTCCTCCCAGCGGCCCTTCAGTCCAAGCTCACGGATTTGCCTTGGACCAATGGAGACCAAAGCCAACCACAGAGTCCACAGAGTAATAGGCGTTTCCCAACTGAAATCTGTGAGATCACAGGGAACTACTTGTGAAACCACAGTGATATGTTGATATATTTTGGGTATCACAGGGGACTCTTCCTTTATCTTCCTTTATCCGTTTCTGAACCGAGTGACACTTGCGTGGCCGCAGCGTCACCAACTTTGGATGATGCCATGGCCAAAACTGGGGATCTTTGCCCCAACTTCCTTGACAAGGCTTCACATCATGTTACATCTCCTGAGCCCAAACCTCAAACAAGTGTGAAATGTTGCTCCATCCAGGTCTTTATTTGCCAATGAAAACCGATTTCCGAAGTCTTGTCTTGAAGATTTTGGTGCTTAGAAATTCCTTCGACATTGACCGTGAAATGGGCCCATGGACCATGCATGGCTCTGCTTTCAAGCAGCATCAAGCGCACTCAGGTGCCCTGCCTGCTATTGTAGCCAACCTACCAAAACGTTGATCGCAGTGGGAGGCATCTAAGAAAACGCAAAAAATCGTGTCAGATATGATGCCATTGCAGTATGCTTGCAGAATGCTCGCAGAATGCTTGCAGAATGATTGCAGAATGCTTGGAAACGGAAGTAAACCTTTCTGCAAACAAGCCACGTCATCACATCTTCCGGGAAGATCAAACCATCTATCCCAGTTGTGAAGGAGCTGGCCAAGCATTCTGCGATCTTTGTTGACCTTGCTGTTGTGAGAATGCAATCAATTGCTCCTGGCACTGCTGGCGAAACTGTTGCTCCCGCGAAAGAGCCTCTGAATGTACCAGTTGCTCTCTTTGTAGTTCTCCTGGCTGGAAGGCTGACTCTGACGTTTGTCCCGAACCTTCTATCTCAGAAGGCGTTTGTTGCTGAGGCTGCACAAAGTTGTTGCTGAGGCTGCACAAAGTTCTGCTGCTGCGGCTGTCCACATCCCATGCCAGCCGGTGGTTCTTGCTGAGGCTGCACAAAGTTCTGCTTCTGTGGTTGTCCACATCCCATGCCAGCCGGTGGCTGTTGCTGAGAAAGCACAAAGTTCTGCTGCTGCGGCTGTCCATATCCCATGCTTGGCTCTTGCTGCTGTGGTTGTTGCTGAGGCACAAAGTTCTGCTGCTGCGGCTGTCCATATCCCATGCTTGGCTCTTGCTGCTGTCGTTGTTGCTGAGGCACAAAGTTCTGCTGCTGCGGCTGTCCATATCCCATGCTTGTTGCTCTTGCTGCTGTGCTTGGCTCTTGCTTGCTGAGGCACAAAGTTCTGCTGCTGCGCTGTCCATATCCATGCTTGGCTCTTGCTGCTGTGGTTGTTGCTGAGGAAAAAGTTCTGTCTGATGCGGATGCCATAGTGGCTCTTGCTGTGTGGTGTTGCTGCGGCCAAAGTTCTGCTGCTCGGCTATGTCCATATCCCATGCTTGGCTCTTGCTGCTGGAGTTGTGCTGAGGCACAAGTTCTGCTGTGGGTGTCTATCCCATGTTGGCTTGCTGCTGTGGTTGTTGCTGAGGCACACAGTTCTGCTGCTGCGGCTGTCCATATCCCATGCTTGGCTCTTGCTGCTGTCGTTGCTGCTGAGGCACAAAAGTTCTGCTGCTGCGGCTGTCCATATACCATGCTTGGCTCTTGCTGGTTGTGGTTGTTGCTGAGGCACAAAGTTCTGCTGCTGTGGTTGTCCATATGCCATGCCAGCCGGTGGCTGTTGCTGAGACTGCACAAAGTTCTGCTGCTGTGCTTGCCCATATCCCATGCTTGGCTCTTGCTGAGACTGTGGGAAAAATTGCTGCTGTGGTTGTGCATATCCCATGCCAGGGGGTGATTGTTGCTGCGGCTGCACAAAGTTCTGCTGCTGTGGTTGTCCATATGCCATGCCAGCCGGTGGCTGTTGCTGAGACTGCACAAAGTTCTGCTGCTGTGCTTGCCCATATCCCATGCTTGGCTCTTGCTGAGACTGTGGGAAAAATTGCTGCTGTGGTTGTGCATATCCCATGCCAGGGGGTGATTGTTGCTGCGGCTGCACAAAGTTCTGCTGCTGTGGTTGTCCATATGCCATGCCAGCCGGTGGCTGTTGCTGAGACTGCACAAAGTTCTGCTGCTGTGCTTGCCCATATCCCATGCTTGGCTCTTGCTGAGACTGTGGGAAAAATTGCTGCTGTGGTTGTGCATATCCCATGCCAGGGGGTGATTGTTGCTGCGGCTGCACAAAGTTCTGCTGCTGTGGTTGTCCATATGCCATGCCAGCCGGTGGCTGTTGCTGAGACCGCACAAAGTTCTGCTGCTGTGAGTGGCCAAATGCCATCCCAGCTGGTAGGTGTTGCGACTGCTGGTACTGTGTTTGTTCAAAGCTTTGATGAGATGATGGTATGCCATTCAGATATTGACTTTGCTGCATCGTGCTCTCTACTTGTTCTCTGCAGGGTCTTTCTCTTTGAAGTTGTCGCTGCTGTGCTGCACGAATCTGAGTTTTGGACAATCGTCGATTCCGGTTTCGCGGTGTTTCGTTGCAAGTTTCAGCGTTGGGACTCTGCAACTTTCGTTTGACTCCACTTTTGGGCTGTGGCTTCTGCGGCTTCTGCATCTTGCCTTCTAGACAGAGCTGCACTGGAATCTCACCGTAGATGATTGACTCACTGTAGCGACCCTCTATCAAGTAGGCTACTGTGACGCAACCAGCTGCCCCACCTGGGGTGGTAATTTCTTCTGCTAGGATTGACTTCACAATCAGCTTACGCAAAAGTCTCAGAACATCTGCCTCTGTCCAGCCATGTAAGCCACCAAAACCAGGCAAATTTTGCCACGAAGCCATTCGTTGTGCTTTGGATCCCAATAAGGCATCCTTCACCGAATGCAACGTCACCGGAGCATCACCTTTCTCACGAACCAAGTGCTGTCGCGCAGCTCGAAGCAATTGCACCGCAAGTTGTGCTTCGTAGACCACATCGATCTGCTGAAGCTCGGCCGTCGACCCGCTCGACCCGCTCGACCTGGCTGCCATGGCTTGACAAATGTCGCAAATGGCAGCTGGAGGTTGACAGCGTTGCTGGGTCACATGTTGTACCCGTCGTGTCTCATCGAAGTAATTGATGATGAAGGCCCGGCGACATTGGAAATTCTCTTCACAATAAGCCACCATCTGCAGCAAACGTTGCAAGCTCCTCTCGGTGTGCTCCGGTGCCTGCCACTGCCAACTCTTGGAATCGGACAGACACATAGAATGAGATAAGATAGGAATACACAGTAATACTCCGCCGTGTAGAATCGAGTCTAAATGTTACAACACTGGGATATCCCTTCACATACTTTAGCTTTTTGTCTACTGGGCACTGTTCCCTTTGCAACATACTATTTGCTGATCTTGGCAACCTGCGGATATCTTGCCTGGTTCATGTCACTGAGCGCCATATTCTGGTGCCGCTTCTTGTCCTTGACATTCAACGAATTCAACGTTCCGATTCCAATTCCAATGGCATTGCAATGGCCATCACGGTCGTCCCCGTCCCAAACTGTCCCTTAAACTGTCCTCGTAGTCATAGAAAATGATGGAGGTGGCAGGACCTGCCCAAAACGCAAAACGAAAGGCGCCTGCAACGCCTGATGCCTGCGGATGCCTGCTCCCTTCAGCTGAGGGTCTCACGGCCATCTCTGCCAGCACGCCCTGCTTCCTGGTAGTAGCCTGCCCACTCGACACCGAAAGAACAGTTGTGGATGTTTAGCAGTTTTGTCATTGATGTATCAACAGTATTCAACAGTTGTTTCAGAGAGCTTCATATGCTGCAGCCAGTTGTGGACAAACATCAGTCCTTCCAGTGACTTGGGAAATGAGTGATGAATCACGAAGCGTACCTGAGCCGTGGTGGCTGGTGATCTTCACTCCAAACTGGACTGGAATGGACTAGTCCTTCTCAAACCCAAGCCCTTCACAAGGTTTCACAATGTTTCACAAGGGCGCATCTCGCTTGTTCACGCCCATGCCAAAGGCAATGGTTGCGACGATGATCGGAGTCTCCCCAGCCCTTGGTGCCCGCAGATGCTTCAAGGAGCTCAACCCCACCGGTTTCCCATGTCCACATTGAGAGCGTCACTTCCAACGCTGCTGCCTGGTGTTTCAGCCCAAAACCAAAGGCCCCCAGAAAGACTCTGGAAAAAGAGAAATGGAGCTAGGGGAACAAAATCTATCGATTCAAAGCTTGCAAGTTCGGAAGGTCCAAATACAATGTAAAGAATATGTAAAGCTTCCCAAAGCCATGCCATTTCCTTTCCCTGTGGTGTTCTTTTTTACAATTCATGTCTCTTAGTGTTTCCCGTCCACTCTGTGCACAGTGCCATAAAATGAAGATGTAATAAAGACTAAGATGTAATCTGCTCAATCTGCTTAATCTGCTCAATCTGAACGGAATGCAATCACTTGGGCGATGGCACAGCCGCACGTTGATGAGCTGCCACTTGGGCATGATACACCTCCGCACCTGAAAGCTCCCCAAGAAAGCTCTCCAAAAGAATCCGTGCACATGGCAACATGTCGCGGCTTATCCGCTTCGGGATTCTGAGGATTTCCATCTGTTTTTTTTTTGTCAGAAGAGTTTGGGGATCAAACAATTCAAACAGCTGTGACAGTTGTCCAATGTTTGTGACACAGCACGGATCTGCATCCTGCTGAGCTCCTGCTGCACGTCCTCACCTCGGTAAAACGATGTGAAACACTGAACCAGCCGTGGTGCCCGACCAGCTGAGATTTCCACAATTTTGTTTGCTGAGGCAGTAGATGATCCCAGATTCACCTTGAGTTTCATCAGTTATCATCAGTTGACTTTTCAGATCGCAGATCCAGTTGAATTCGACTGCACTATCTGCACTCGAGCCTCGAAATCGGGTGTGGATCAACTCGCCAATCTCCTTCATGATGCTCCGTTTGCTCTTGGGCAGCACCTGGTGACAGGTGACCCAAGGCATTGAACGTATCCGTGGTTGGCGTGCAAATCCAGAAGGCGATCAGTGTCTGATATAGATCCTCTTGACTTAGCAAGACTTTCAAGATTTTACAAGTACCAATTCCAAAATCTCAATATATCTCAATATTCTTCAAATAGTCAATAGATGTCAATAGTCAATAGTTAATAGTCAACATATCACATCTGCAAACAGTCAATGTCCGCTATGTCCGCTACCGCTGTCCGCTACAGCTGGAGTACAGTTCACGTCATCTCCGGCCTTGAATTCTAAGTTGGGTCGATCCACCGGCGACAAGAAAATGGTGTCCCTTGGGTGTGAAGTGCCGTGACGAGAATGACGAGAAGTCACACGAAGCTACCAGTATTTCCATGTTGAAATGCCAGTTTAAGACCTTCCATATCCTTCTATGATTTTTAATGATTTCTATGTATAGTTTCAAAATGTTTCAAAGCCCACAACTTTATCGATGGTTATCCCATGTTATCCCTCCGAGTCAACCCAAAGAGTGAAAAGTGAAGAGATCTGTCACCTGAGATTCCCCGAAGAAACAATGGAGTCTCGGAGTCTCACTGAAAACACTGAAACGCCCAAGCCACTGTGCCATGTTGAGCTGCGTCAAGACGTTCTGTATGATCTGCAGTGGACATGGTGATATGATCGTAATGCATCAGTTAAAGATATATCTGGGTAAATTATCATATTTCACCAACCTGAATTAAGGCTACTTGGGGATGATTCCCCTTACTAACCATGATTCCAGTGAGGTCGCAGTGAGGTCGTTATAATTTAACCAGATATTCTAAAACATTCCAAAACATGTTGGCACCGCTTGGCTCGCCTCCTCCGTTGCCGTGGCACTGCAAACCAAAATAGGCCTGCAGCGCAGCTGCAGCGATGGAAGAAATCGAACCATTCGAAACCACAGCTGGAGTATGGTTGCGACCAGAAGGTTTTAAACTAAAGTTTTAAACGTTTGTTTGCAAACTAAAAAGGTCAGTGTCGAAACCTTGCCTGGACATTCGTGGCGGGAGAGGGGGGGGGGTCGGCAGAAACAAACGAACTAATGGAAAAAAGGTTTGTTTTGGAGGAGGAAAACAAACGTTTTCGACGGATGGTGAAACTATAGTTTCGGGCCTTCAAAACAAAGGTTTTCGACGGGAAAAGTTAGTTTCCGGGGGGTGAAACAAACCTTTTCCAGGAGGGGTCGGCGAGGGTTGAGAAACAAAAGTTTCAAAACTAGAGTTTTAAGTTTTCGAAACAAACTTTTCCAGACCAAGGTGAGAGAGTTAGTTTGTTTGCAACCACGGCCACACGCTTGGCAACTATTTTCGCCGTGCGAACTGGTTCGGTTAGCCTCGGCGGGCGTATTCTACAACTAGCTGCCGGTTAGCATAACTACTGTTATGCCATTCATTGACCGCGCGCTGCACGGCAGCTGGAGCAGCATAGCGAATGATAGCAGCGGCGTGCTGCGGTTTGTAGCGAACCTTGGTAGCTACAATTCAGCTGCAAGGTTGGGATTGGCAGAGGTTTCGCCGGTAAGGCTACTTCGCAGACCTGTGTTCGAAAAAGCTTCCAGCCACCATCCAGGATCATGCGATTCGCACATCCGGGTATCCCACAGACAGCTCTGTGTTGGAGGCACCAACACCATTGGGGTTGCCACAGTTCCAGCTCCGATTCAAAGGCGGCAGCATCGCGCCAATATATTTGCAGCATAGCGGCGCCAGAAGCCGGTGTAGCACGGTGCCCATGGAAGTATGGCACGCCTGGGCAAAGCAGGGGTACGCAAAATGCTTGAAAGAAGAACTGCTCAAACACAACTGCGCAAAGTTAAACATGCAAGCAGAGGCGCCAGACAGCGCCAGGAAATCGATGAGAGCAAACAAGAGGTGAGGGCGAGTGAAATGATAGACTGTCCAATCAGTGCTCCACTGCATAGTTTGCCAGAATGCGGCATACCCACGCATGAAGCCAAGGTAGGACAAACCATTGCTTGCCTGCGCAGGCTTTCGTAGTAGCGCACAAGGTCGATGCCGAAAGCAACTTCAGAAAAGCCCGTCTGCAGGCAAAGATACTGGGACGGGTCGCCTGCAAGTTCCATGCGAACCTCATTATGCAAGAGCGGACCAGGGACGACAAAGTTGTGGAAGTACAAAGTTTGGCAGCCGCTGCAGAACAGAGGCACGTGGAGGTACTCGATGGGGCCGTAGTAGTGCGTGAGCACAGTGGTTCGCCACTGCAAGTTTCCTTTGGGAAACAAGGCACGGCGATTCAACGGCAGCACATCAGCATGGGTAAGTCTCCGGAGTGCGGAAACACTGCAGTAAACACAGCGGCGACCTCCCCATTGCAAAGTACGCTCCGCCATGGCGACGGCTAGCGTCGAACGAATGAAGAGGTTGCAAGCTGGGAAGTCTCGAACGAAGATGGCCAGGTCAGAATGGAAACTACTTTTGCAGTCAGTTGTCAATCATCGGACTCGGTTCCTTCCCGCTTGATTGAAAGACGAAGCCAAGATGATCCGAGCCCGTGTTACGGGGAAGGTCGAGACCAGAAGCAAACGGCGGAGCCGTGCGTGTTGGAAAGACGTGGCGGAGCCGGAAAGGTGGTGCTTGGATGGCGGAGCCGTGTATGTTGGAAAGACGTGGCGGAGCCGGAAAGGTGGTGCTTGGCTGGTGGAGCCGTGTATGTTGGGAACAGACACTTGCGGAAGCGGAGCCGCAAAAGTTAGGCTTAGATGGCGGAGCCGTGCGGGTTGGAAAGACGTGGCGGAGCCGGAAAGGTGGTGCTTGGATGGCGGAGCCGTGTCTGTTGGGAACAGAAGGTGGAGCCGGAAAGCCGTTGGATGAAGTGTGAAAAGCAAAACCAAAATCAACCAAAGAAAATACACGGACGACAAAAGGAAGCGAAGACGGTAGGCACAAACATTTGCGGAAGCAAAACATTAGTTGCCAGAAAGAAAACAAAAGTTTGGAAACTATAGTTTTTTCAGCGGAAACAAACGTTTTGCGGAAACGTTTGAAACAGCACGAAAAAACAAACACAGTACCCCAATGGTGGAAAGGTTTATTTTTCCGGAAGAAACCAAAGTTTGCCTAAAGGGTTTGTTTCTAGTGACAAAACAAACTTCGCACAATATACTTTCAAACAAAGGTTTCCAACAAAACAAACAAACAAAACTACCGAAAAAAAGGTTTGTTTTGGAGAGTTTCAAACTAGTTCGGTGGAAGTTTGTTTCAAGGTTTCGGTTTAAAAACAAAGGTTGTGGAAAAAGGTTTGTTTGCGACGAGAAAACAATTCTTTTCGATCAAAAACTTTAGTTTCCACAGGAAAAACCTTGGTTTTCAATGAGGTTTCCAGCCGTGCCAATGCATATTGGCAGCAAACGTTAGTTTCGACTGCAGAAACAAACCTTTTCTTGTGCCGCTGAACGTTTGTTTCCTATCATGAAACTGAGGTTTTGCAACTGGGAACGTTTGTTTTTACTGGAAAACAAACTCTTGGGTGCAACCCTACTGCACAGCTGGGGCAGCTGGGGCCGGTACACACTGGGAAACGATGCCTTGAGGTTTTTGAGCTGCAAATAGCTATCCTCAAACAGCAACAGAAATCAAATGAAATATATCCTGGTAATGGACTTGAACGATTTAAAAGTAGAATGCGGAAACGTCCACAGACACTTCGTGACACGGCAGAATCACATCAATCTTGGGATAGATCCGCAGTCTGATCATCCCGTCTGCAGTCAAGGCTCCCGGAATTCATTGCCCCAAATACTCAAACAATGCCTGAAGCCAAGATCGTAATGAGAACGATGCGCAACTTGGATTTCACTCGAAGTTGAATCAAGTTGCACTTCATCAATCACAAATCTCTGCAAACCTCCCTCTGCATAAAGGCCTTGGATGTTGGGAACAAAAGAAGTAGAATGCACTGAAAGAACAGAGATACGACATACATTGGCCATCAATGTCAACACAGTTGCCATCAACATCAGCTAGCAGCAGCTAGCATCAACATGGAATTTCCCTCTCTGCTGAATTGTTTCGGATGCCTGGGAGCGTGGCTTCTGAGTGCTTTCTGAAAGGCACCACTTTGGTGAATCATCTCAGGGGTGACCTTTCCAAGTCTATGCTGGGCTGGGTTTGGTGGTTTGGTCCCCCTATTCCTCCTGAATCAGCTGAACAACCAGCTGAACAACCAGCTGAACAACCAGCTGAACAACCAGCTGAATGGAGCGGAACGCAGTCTGATTCGATCTCAGCAGCCAGCATAAACGATCTGCAGCTGTCCCGTCAGCATGCGCTGAGTTACCTGCCAACTCCCAGCCAGAGGGCCCACCAAAGAAAATACGAGTACAATCGAGTACATTTAGATAGACTCGGATAGATTTGGTCACTCCTGGTTGATACAGCTTTGAAAGAATTTCAACATATCAATGGTTTCATATGTTTTCATATGTTTCTCTGCATTTGGTTTGCACAACCTTTTTTGCTGTTCATCTCCCACCGTGCGGACATCTTCCCCAGAGTCGTCGGAGCGCGACCGGACAGCGGAGGCCTGACGCTAAAATCGTGGAAGCAACAGCAGTGGACACAAACACATCAATATCATATCAACATCACATCAAAAATCACATCAAAATCATAATACTTCATAATATCATATGACGTGTTGTGGTTTAAAAGGATCTAAAACTTGACCTGACTAGCGATGGCAAGAACCGGGCTGAGGCGGCAACCCCGATACCCAGTTGAATCCTCGGCTCCACATTTGGCCAAGAAGCGCGACCCAAAGCAAACCATATATCATCTGTATGTAAATACTAATGATCTAATGTATATATATTAATGTATGATAATGTATGATAATGTATGATAATGTATGATAATGTATGATAATGTATGATAATGTATGATAATGTATGATAATGTATGATAATGTATGATAATGTATGATAATGTATGATAATGTATGGGTATATAGATAAGATATATATATATATATCATATCTAAATATTCTAAATGATCATCATCGCGATATGACAATCTCAGATTCCATGTGGTTTCCACTCTTGGCGCTCAGTTGATAGGGTCCTTCAAAATCATCCATTAGCTATCATCAGCTTGATGTTTTTTCCGGAAACATCAAACCTGCTCCAAAATGTTCAGACTATTCCAATTCACAGCCAAGACCAGCAGTTCCAAGCTGTGGCAAGATTCAGCTCTTGGACTTGATCCTGAATCAGGGAAAGAAGGGGACTGATGACCACCACCAACGGCTTCACCACTGCAGGAATCTGGTAGACCAAGGATTTTCCTCCTGGGACGTGCGGAATCCAATTGATGGCAACTACAAAAATGCGGTGTAATCGGTGTAACACTACAGTCAAGACTCTCGACATGAGCATGCGGCATGTCACAAACTTGATCCTCAATCCCAGTAGGCTACAATTCCAAGAAGATCATGAATTTTAGAGCGTCACCAAGTGTGTTCAGATCATTCAAATCAATGGAAGCAGTCAATGTCTCCTCCAGTTGGCATCCGGACAAACACGTCCTTTCCAGCCAAACATGCATTGATTGCCTCCCTCTGCTGTGGTCGGAAAGCAGGCACGCCAAACTTTGGAAGCGCTGCATTCACTGAAGCATCCCATGGAAAGCTTTGCGCCCAATTTCGTCCTGGATCTCTACAGGCCCTTTCTGAATTCGTGGTCGGTGGTGCCTGCCAGGCTCCATTGGCTCCATTGGCTCCGTTCCCTTCGAACCCTTCGAAGCTCGGAGCTTCACAGTGACTCGGAACAAAGGAACTCGATGGAGCCGCAGCCGGAGCCATGGCTCGCATGGCTTGTGCCGCTGGTGCCGCTGGTGAAGCCGGAGCCACTGCAGTGTGATGCAGCGAAGCATTGCCGTTGCCACCATGGACACCATGGACACCATGGACACCATGGACACTGCCCTGCTTGGCTTTGGATGTCTTTGGCGCTGTGCGACGCTCAACAACCTCGCCGCCATTCAAGGTACCTGCGGCAGCTCGTTGCCATACAGGACGCCAGTCTTTGTCAATGCCTCAGTGTAAACATATCAAACAGTGGCTTTTTTATACAGTACCCCGATTTGTCTATTTGCTTTCCAGCTCAGCAATGACTGACCTGTCAAGTGGCAGATACAGCAGAATTTGAATCCCCAAATTTGTGCCAGGCGGCTGATGTCCTTGAGCGCTTCTGCAGAAAGCTGGGACCTGCGGTGCAATTGGGCAGCAAAGGTTCCAAAGTCCAAAGGTTCCTTTGAGCCCAGTTGGATGAACAATAGATATCAATAGTATTCAATAGTCAAGATTCTGGTCTCAGAGGCTTTGCAGTCAACCTGGATGGATGTTGGCTAAGCGAATCAGAATTTAAAACATGGCCAAATTACATCAAATTACCCACCGCTGCCTCTTGTTGAGGGTCTCGACGTTGAAGCGTTTGCCAAACACATCCGCCTCAACATGTTCTTGTCTCTACGGGGTCCCTTCCAAACCCCATCCAGAAATCCAGGACGAAGCAGTCGTGACTTCATGACGGCAGATGGCTGAAGTGTGTACCAAGGCCGCAACCCAACTCTGACAACTGCCCAGCCACTGCAGCTGCTCTGCCAAATTTGTGCGGATTCCTCAGAGTTCCAAGGCGCGAGAACGGCCCTGTGGACATGCAGCTGCTTGATTGCAAATGTTCATCTCAAAACTTACCAAAGGCATGACTCCCGCATGACATCAACATCCACCGTCTGTCATGCATGTTGCGCAACTCATATCAATGTCTCGTTCAGCAAAGCGGCTTTGCTCCGCAAACATGGCATAGCAATGAGTGTAGCCAGAGCAGTAGCTATGGCGTGGACATGCCGACAAGAATCATGGAGTAATCATGCTGTTAGAGGATCACTGGCTAGATGTCACACTTGAAAAGAAAGGCTAAACACCAACGTTGCTTGACACTGCATACTGTGCTTATCCTGAAATATGAATCCTTTGAGGTTGGCAACTTGAGGAATGGTTGGGTCGAATGAGTCCGTGTGTTTGCAATTGTCAAATAAGCACATGAACTAATTTGAATGTTGCGTGTACCACCAAAGAAATGTCAAAAACCATCTTCGGAGGAAAGTGAATCCAGAAAAGCTCAAACAATAGGCTAGAAAACTGAATGTTCCAAATCGTTGTCTGTAGCGGTTTAGTTCCACCCTAGTTGCAAGTCTCACCACGTATCCAGCAACTCATAGGACTTGTATAGCTATGATAGCTATCGAAATGGCTTCCCTGCACAGACTCTCTGTGTTGGTTTTTGAGAAACGTGATTTTGTCACTTGGCACAAACTGTCAGGGAATAAAGTCGTTCTTGGCATTCTTGGGATACACCTGTGCTTTCACTGAGCATGATGATTGCATGGTAAGTGGAACAAAAAACACAGGAGCTTCCACGGATGCATCACGGACACCTGGTCCAATTTGCCAACGGAGATCAAAGTATGCCAAGGTGCCAAGTTGGTGGTGGGTACATCGGGCTGTATTTTGCTCACGCGCGTTGCTATTTACATCCCTTGCACATCCTTGCACCATCCCCTATGTTCCAGGCGAATATGATCAAACAACTGCAGGCAGAGTACAGTTCCTACAACAATGTCACTGGATGAAATCGGGTCAAGTAACGCGTGGATGCGGCAACGCGTGGATGCATATAATATATTATAATATGACATAACATGACGAGTAAAATTTAGAATGCGCAGCGAAGGTTCAGGTTAGTAACGGTTAGTAAGATTCTGACATGGATACGAAGCCATCAGAATCAAAAATCTTCCAGGGTCCTTGGAATCACCCCCCTGGCGTCCCTTTTTGATGGACACCCGATGGTGAGACTAGACCGGGCAGAGGCGTGGCATCTTGGACGCGAGTCCTTTCCGCGACCAACGAACGGAGTTGACAAGTGTTGACAAGTTACAGTATCTGAAGAACACTCAACTCGGCAAGAGCTTCCAAGATCCTAAAACACACTCATTCTCTACGGCAGGAAGCAGAAAGTCCAAAGAAATTTGAGCAGGTTCTGTGTCTGGAGCCCAAGTGGCATTTGTCAGCTCCGATCGAATGCATTAACTCGTCAAGGCGCCTGAAAGCGACACTCGATCATTAGCACTAGCACAACTGGACCTGTCCAGTTTCCATTAAATCTCACTAAGAAAACACACGCCAAAAAGCTATCACCACATCCAATCACCATGGCATCTGATGGCACAGGGACCACGAGACCATCACACGACATGCGACAGCTGCGACAGCGGCGACAGCTGCGCTCAGTTGGAGGTCTTGTTTGAACTTGATCGCCAGCTCGATTGCCAGCCCAACCTGCAGCATGTGGCGCGGTGAAACCCTGTGAAATATGTTTGGGATATGGATGGATTATGATTAGCAGGTCACATGTAACCAAAGCCAATGGCTTCACAAACATCACTGATATTTATGGCCAAAAGAAATCATGATAAATAGTTTGTAGACACACAGGCACACCAGCAAAAAAATGGCACGGGTCAGAATTGAGTACCTAAATGAATCTAACATGTGTTAGAAGCCTTCCAAATTTTGACACGTACCATATGTGTGTATATTATATATATTGTATATATTTGTATATATATAATATATATATATATCCATATACCGTATGTTTTTAGATGTTGTTGGTATTTTTTTGTTACTCGCTTAGTTGCTGACTCGGTTCATGTTCTACCATCCACGAGAAGCCACAGGTCAACTCACTGGGTCACTGGGGCTTCCACGACAGTTTGCTCGCTGCAGTAGCAATCTTAGCTTCCAGCTTCCAGCACTGAAAGCGATTCAGTCATGAAACGTATGAAACAGCTCAAGATTTCCACTGAGGACTAAACAGTCGACAAGAAATGAGTCCCCCTGGGACAGCTTGACACAGCTTGACTCAGCTTGACTCAGCTTCAGTTACAGTTTGCACAGCGTTCGGCCAAACCTCGATGGAGACGATTTCGAAGGTGACTTCCTTCCTGGAACATAACACACATAGCACAAAGTGAAAAAAATGCGGTTACCATCAAAGACACGGTCCAGTATGACGTCACGGCATGTCACGACGCTTGTGACTTCACTGCAATCCATACGTTTGGGAAAATACAAAGGTCAGAAATTGCTGTTCCACCACAGTTTCCACCATAAGGCATGAGGGCGCATCGAAATCACGGTATTGTGTAACCGATCGCTGCTTCGCCACAGCGAAAGATGCACTTTTGGTGTATCCATTCTTTTGGCTGGTTCTTTGCAACTCTTGCGGGCTCCCACATTTTGCATTGATAAAACAGTTGTTGCTTATGGAATAGTTTCTGACTCAGAGAAACAGGTCCTAATCGTGTAAATCATCTGCAATCCTGATCAAGAATTATAGATTCTATCCTGCAGTGCAACAGAATGTAAACGACGGGTGGAATCAAGTGTGAGTGCAAGTGAACATGAACGTTAACATCCCACCCCACCCCACCCCATTTCGTTGACTGGCATGGGTCAAAACGCGCAAAAACACGTAGTTCCCTGCTACCAGTACAAAATCCGCTCCAAACGGGTCGTTATGTACGTCCGGAGACAAAATCAAACACCGCTACCCAGCCATCTGAAGCAGATATCAACATATTCGAAATTGATCAAAATTGTTTGTTTTCATTTTGTGACTCAAAGGTAGCATAAAAATGCACAAAATATCCTTTAAATTCCAATGTCTCAGCTCTGCGCCTGAAGTTTCGGGTGTCCTTGAGCCCGTAGGATCGCTACCTGGCTGCTGGGCTGCTGGTGACTGCCGTTGCGTCCCCACAACTTCCCCACTGAGGCCGCAGCTCATGCCCACCTGACCAGCGGTGATTTCAACTCTCGACCTCCTAAAGGGCCTAAAGGGATCTTTCGGACAGGTGGATCTTAGATGATCTTAGCACAACATCCTGTCCGAAAACGATGCGTGGAGTAGATGGCAAACATTGGCAAACTAATTGCTCTGTTTGAAGCAAATATTTCCTGACAAGCTGTCACCCCATTCCACTTATTCTCTGAAACTAAAACTCTATTGATTGAGTGCTGTCACTGGTCTGTGCGGTGTTCTGCTCCGACATTCAGTGCCTACTGGTCGTGATAGGTGGGGCGCCTGCTGTCGATAGGCCGTGATCTGAACTTTCATCTCCATGCATTGCCTCAGCCAAATGCCACGGGCACTGATCTAACCACTGACCAATCATCCCCCAGATGTGAACATAAATCACTACAGGGGATATGACCATAGCACAGTTGAGGCTCCAACATTTCAATCCATTCACTTGCACGGCTCTGACGCTCAGTTTCAGCCTCAGTTCGTCCATATCAGGAGATCTCGGTGTCACCATTTTGGAATCATGGCGACTCTGGCATGTTTTGGAACCTTTCAAATGTGCTCGCCAACAAGAATAGAACAAGTGTCTGACTAACATTTCCATATTCATGGCCCCTTGATATCGCTTGATGGTGTTGCTTCTTCTTTTCTGCAGCGCATTTTGCTGAACACATTGCTAATCAATTCCGACCATAGGCCAGCCTCAATGCGCTGTAGCACTTCATTGAGACTCCCCTCCATTTCCTGGTCAAGTTGGCATGAAGACCAACACAAAAAGCGCAAACAACCCATTTGCCATCATCTTCTCATGACTTGTTATGAGACATGATTCCTCTCCAACCCCTCAGTACCCACATTCCTACCAAATCTTACCATATCCTATGATATCATTAGGATATCCTACCACATCCTAATATCTAACATATATATATATATGACATAATTATAATATATATATATATTGTTATGTCATATTATATCATATTATATCATATTATATCATATGATATCGTATTATATCATATTATATTATATTATATCATATCATATCACATTACATTACATTACATTATATATATACATATACACATATATAATATATATCCCACCATATCCTCCCCAGAGTCCGATGTCACCTCTGAACGTTTCAGCAGCGTATTCTCCGCCGAGCTAATCTCCGAGCGCAAGGCCTGGCGCCAGAAACATCGGGGGAAACATCGGGTCTTTGTGGATGTGTGTTGTTAATATTGGGATATTATGATATATTGAGGTGATGCTGAATGGATGTAAATGACTCGTGGTTTGTAGTCCTTGTAGTCTGTAGCATTGGGCTGTTTACCACATTTCATGGCTTTTGATGGCTTTTGGGGGTACCAACTGTGCTAAAATTGCTGAGAAACACCTGGCGATAAGCAAATCTGCCACATGGCGGCTCGGCTGCGGCTCTTTTCTCAATCTTTCTGCATCGATGCCTCCAGCTGAGATGAGAGGTCGATGCAACTTTTCCAACTTTTCCAACATTTGTCGAACGTTTTTCATGTGTTTCTCCCAATTGTGTTTCCACGTGTTTTTCACATGTTGTTCACATGTTTTCCACATGCTTTCCACACCATTTATCTCTAGCTTTTCGACGCCTGGCCGTGGTTTGCAGCTTCAAGAGGCTCTTTCCAGTCACCGCTTCATTCCTGGGCAATCCGTCCGACGTTCCAGTCATCGATGCGCCAATTCTTGGAGATGTTGGCTCTGAATTGTCAAAACTGAAAAAACATCTCAAGGAAAGAAATAAGGAGTTGTAGTTGCCACTAGCTTAATTATTTTAATATATTTTAATTGTTAATCATCAAAACAGCATGACAATCTCACTGCAGGAATGCCCAATCCTGTGGAAATCAGCATTCCTAACAGATCTAACAGGTGGTCTCGGTGGTCTCAACTTGCTTCCTCTAAGCTCCACACAGGCAGTCGAAGCCAGCCATGAAATCTTCTTGGTTGATGCTGCCCTGCACAGTGACTGTAACACATTCGGTTTAGCTAAGTTACTTGATGTTACTTGGTACCGATGCAGAAGTGCAGAAGTACTGTTCGTTCGCCAAATCTTCAGGCAAAGCAGGTTCGCCAAAGCCACCCTGCCTGCTGGTTCACATCCAGCCAGTCGAACATTCGCAGCATATCCTGAACCGGCCTGACATCGGCACGAGAAACTGATGCGAACCAAACAGTTCTCAGTGGATCTCAGTGGTAAAGAAATGGTAATTTGTCGAAGAATCTGCCTGGTTTTCAATACAAGGAGACACTGAGCAAGAACGCACTGAGCATCCAACATGTTTGCAACACTCTGCAGCTTCCGGAGGAAGTACGGAGAAGACATCACTTCCACAAAGTCCTTCAACTGGAAGCTTTTGCTGTCCATTTGGACAACCGACGGTGCTTTCAAAGCTGAGGATTTTCTCCCAATGATCCCAGGATATCCCAGGTATAATCCAGATATAATCCATGTTTGGACCAGTGGGTCACTGCTATTCTCAACATACATTTTTTTTATTTTTTTTATTTTTTTTAATTTTTTTAATTCAATTTTCACTTATTGTTCCCCCCTTTCCAAGGCGAATGTGAAGAATCTGAAGCACTTGTCTCACCAATGTCTTCTCCTGCTTCTCCATAACACCATCTTTACTGGCAGCGAGGAAGACTTCACTGAGGGACTGAGTCACCTTGAGTCCTTAGCAAAGTGACTTGCAAATGATGCAACGATCACGGAAAATGATTCAAGATGATCCAAGTTATTGACAACCTCAGTTGCCACTTGGATCTGGGGCCTTTCTGATTGCTGAGATGATCCATGTTGATCCCTCTTCACGATGGCAACGTGCTGAGTGTACTGAGACATCAACGAAGTCTCTCAACCTTTTCCTCATCCTTCCTCTCTTGCAGCTGGCGCACCTGGTGACCCACGTGACCCACCAGCTGTCCATGGCACTGCGTGGCCATGTGCCATGAGAACAGCCCACTTGACATCAATGAACTAAATGAACAAAGAAACGATGCCACACTGCACGTATCACGTATCCACAAACTGCGTGCTACTTGTGAGAAATTGCACCCATCACACCTCCAGCATGTTGTCACTCACCACCTGGGGGACTCGGGCCATCTCGGGCGTATGGCTTGGCTCATCTTGGCGGCTTAGCGGGTCTAGGTCACCACACCCCTGTCAGGATGCTGAGCAGTGCCCAGGAGGACAGCACTGTATAGAGGACCCAAACCTCAGCCGAGCATGCCAGACGCAACCAAATTTGGCCGAATTCCACATATTCCACATTAAAATCATTAAATGACATCAACTAAATATGAAATTGCAAGAGGTGACCTGCTTTGACCACTACTGTACTTTTCGGCCTCTCGATTCCTAGATGGGGCAATGAGGTGCTAAGTCTATGACCGGCTTCAGGAAAGGGAAAGCTCGAAAGAGAGGATCGACTTCCTGCCAGTACTGACCTCGGATACCCATCGAACAGAATTGAACATGATCTCGTGATCACGGTGATCTCGTTGAACCCAAAGAGTTCACCTTTTCGTTTGTACCGTGATCACGGTGATCACGGTGATCACGGTGACTGAACGAGCAAACCGGCTGGATGATTTACGACACGCGTAATGCGATTCATGCGGTGCGGTCACCCTTGAAGCGCCTTTGGCTTCGGCGTCCTTTGCCGCCAGGGCCTAGCTTTCACAAGAAGCAACTCACTCGTCTCCGCGGTTTCCTTGTCAAGGTACAAAGTAACGGAGCCTGAGACACATTCGTCTCCAAATGCATCTGGTTTTGGGTTAAAATCCGGGACACAAAAACTGATGAATTAGGTTCCATATGTATTCATACTTCCCTGGAATGCAACAGATTAATTTGGGATCTGATCCCACCCACAAATAAATGTGACTGTGTTTCAACAAGCACATCGAGGAACATCAACAGTGTCAAACAAATCATTTCAAATACTTTCAAACTGCAATTCTTTGCCACATATGTCTATCAAATTAGTAGTCTTTGGCTATGCCATGGTCAACCTGAATCCTACAGCTCCACCAGCTTGGTATGATCTGTGTGATCTACAGTTTTTCACTGGTGGCTCATAATTTCCCAAAGAAGCTGGCCTGGAACGCCACTTTGACACTCTCCTGGAGATCAGACTGGGTGGAATTCGTGGAATTCACATCCTTCACACCACTTTCCTCGGGTTGAGTCACCTGCCAGCATCAAAGCATGGTAACAAATCAGAAGCACTGGTTGAATGGTTGAATGGCTCCCCATCACTGGCCATGGGCAATGGCTGGCCTGTGGTGCTGGATGCTCCTGATGTGGCCATGTGCACCATGGCAGACAGCTGAATCGTTTGTGATTTGTAAACCAAAAGTCCTCTCCTTGTCCCGGCCACCCAGAACGCCATCCCAGTGGACATAATCCGGCCTCCATCCAGAGCCGCCGTAATGACTTGAGGCAGGGGGGTGAACGAAATAAGGTTCATAACTCAGACCTGCCCCTCCCCTTGCTAAAGCAAGAGTAACTCGAGCTACCTACCGCTAGCTTTCGTGACCAAGGCATGTTCATCAATTTTGTTTCAGGTGTCTGAGTCTTGATGTTGACTTCGACATTGCCGAGGTGCTCTTTCATCAGCTTGGAATAGGTTCGCATAGACATCTTGGTGTTCGCCAACAAGTTGTCTCTAATCAAATGTCCAGCAGCCGCGATGGCCATGTTTGAAGCAGTTTTTGCCTCAGTGCAGCTGCAAATGCTCCAAATGCTCCAAATGCTCCAAATGCTCCAAATGCTCCAAATGCTCCAAATGCTCCAAATGCTCCAAATGCTCCAAATGCTCCAAATGCTCCAAATGCTCCAAATGATAATGCTCTGATCAATTGATATCAATTGATTGTGAAGCTCGGATTCAGACCACATGCAGTGCCATGTCAGCTTGCCGTGCAGCAATGACTGCCCTCTCAGCATTTTCTCGAGTTTCGTTGCTCCTCTTTCATCGAGGTGAAGTGGCAGGATAGCATGTGTCACGGACAGAGTCGTAAAGACATTTCAAGACAGGAACGCAATAGATATCAATAGATATCAATAGATTTCAATAGATTTCAATAGATTCTTGATGAGACTTGACTGACTTGACGAGGAATGTCTGCACTCAAGAAATGGCATGCACGTTCAGCCCTTTCAAGAACTTATTGTTTGCAATTGATTGCTGTTTTGTTTCAGGTATCTCACATCAACTGAGTCGAGGTCCACCACTGCAAGCCCGTGTCATTGATGTCCTTGAGTCTTGGGGCAGCTCACAGGTCTGCACACTGTGATACCGCATTGTTGGATTTCTATGGTTTTCGTACAATCTCTAAACTTGGAAACAAGTGGACAAGTATGAACTCAACTTCATGCCGGTATCTCTGAAGTTCTCTGAACAAGTGGACAAGTGGACAGCCGTGGACAAGTGGACAGCCGTGGAACAGTTTCAATTTCTGGATTCATTCTGTCAGATGCAGACATGCCACAGGGTTGGGATCCAGCTGCTGCTGAGGACTGGTGGGATCAAAGTCAAAGCTCATGGTCGCGAGCGTTGCGCAGCCACATGAGGACAATGATATGTGAGGATTCGATTTCTGCTGAATTCTCCAAAACGTCATCCAACAATTGAGAGCGAAATTGAATCCAAAATCCTTGGATAGGAGCAGTGTCTTTGTTTGAAGGTGTTCAAACCATGTTGCATGATATGTGTTTTGTAGTTGTGTAGTTTTGCAGTTGGAATGCCCTTTTGTCAACTGGACTTGTGCTCAGCTCAGGCCACACAGCTCTCGCCGCCATCACCAGGTGTCTTGATATGTCTTGACACATGAGGCATGAAACATCACTTGCCAGCTATGCTGCTAGATTTCAAATGATTTAAGTTTGCTGAAAACATTTCTTGGAGGTTAATCTCTACATGTCCAAGGAAATGCGGTTGCACAACACCATCTGAGAATAAGGCTGTTCATCAAGCCAAAAAGCGTGAACAGCGAATCCAACCTGACATGACAACAGTTGGAGTGCAAGGTATTGCAAGGTATACTATACTCAAAACATATAAAACATCAACGGTTTCTCTAGTTGGGCAACCTGTCTAATCTGTGTATAGAATGTCCATATACATATACATATACATATACATATACTGCGAATCGGTGATTGTCTGTCCGATTATATCCTGATAGTCAATGTCAAGGTGAATGTTCCAGTGATGACGTTACAAGGGCATCAGCTTCCGCATTGCAACTGTTTTCTCTGACACTGCAGTGGGTCTTGAGCCAAAGAGGTCGGTTTCATGTACCCCTTCGGCTGTGGATCTTAGAGTGCCTAATAGTGATAATGTACACTGACCCGTAGCCTACACTCTATTCGCACCCCCCACGCATGGCCAACTTTGTCGGCCACGCGCAAAGGAGTGTCCCTCGAATTGATCCACTACATCTGCAGCTGTTCATTTATTGAATTATGGAGAGCTAAAGTCCGTTCAGAACTTCATATCTACATGGCGGCTTGCTACAATCTCTACCAAAAAATAAAGGTTCTGTTCAAGTGCATGTAGACACGACGTAGTCGGTGTCTAGCATTGAGGTTCGTCCAATGTGGCGTAGCCAGCATGGAGTCTCACTCAAGCATGTGAATTAAAGAAATCAAAACACGAAGTTGACTATGGAACTAGAAGTTTACCTTCCCGTTCCTTCGTCGGTTGAGACGTAGACCGCTGTAGAAACTCAGCGTTTCATGCAATGATGTTCAAAAAAAAATGTGTGGTTCTAAATTAGCCGGCTCAGAGTCCTCTCAGAAATCATTCAAAATGAAGTAGAGGTAAATCTCAAGCAATGATTGCGTCCTCGCATCGCCAGGTTCAATCAGGACCTATGCAGAGGTCAGATCGTTTAATCATCTGTGTCCCCATCCATAGTATCCCTGATGGTTCCAGTCTCCGCCACGGTGTGAATAAGATTTTCCACCTTTTCCTTGATCTTTTCCTCCCTTCTTTGGCGGGGTCACTGGAGCTTGTTTTGGCTGAGGAGCGGTTTCAACTGTTCTCCATGTCGCTGACGATGATGCTTTCGCTTTCGACACTCTTCCCAGTGCTGGTGCAGCTTTCGGGGCTGCTTTCGATTTGCCAGCGGCTGGATTGGTACGTTCACGATCAGCAGGAGTCGGGGTATCAGCAATCGCAAGTATGTGAGCTTCAGACAAGTGGATGCCCCACCTTGGTCGTTGATCTTCCCGTTGCTTGATGTGATTGTAGTCATCGATCGCATCATATAGCTTTTGGAGTAGAGGTCGCGGCAATTGTCGGCCATTCTGAAGGATCAGGTGTAAAAGTGATATTCTTCGAAGTGGTGGACGAAGAGCACACACAATGTCAACTGGATTCAGTGTGATTGTGTCCTGAAAGTCAACGTTCCTGAAGAAATAAACAGCATTTACCCTACATGCACCTGCAATGATTCTTCTGACCATGACGTCTTGTCGGTCAAGGGCGTCGCGGGCCGCTGTGGTCTTTCTCATCTCATCCATTGTGGTGTCACGTTTCGACAGCTTCTCCATCTCCTCATCAAAGAATATGTTTTGCAAGTCATCATACGTGTAGCCACATTCAAGGGTATATATGAGAAGTCTTTTGAGTACCACTGCCCCGTAGTATGCATTGACGA